CTCACCGCGTCGTTAGTTGCCAGTTTTGATTTGAAACAAAGTATGTAGTGTGCTGATTACCACCTTCCTGGTGTAAATGAAATACAGTTTACATGGGTAAATGAACAATACACCTGTAGGTTTCATTTGACACAATTCGTGTTTTTCTTTGCTAAAACTTGCCATGCGTCTTGAACTCACAGCTTGTTGAACTAAACTGCTTCGCCTCACTGTTTAAGTCAAAGCTTTATGGCATTTATGATATCATGGTTGTCTGAATACCTGAGTTAATAACAAACAAGTTATTTCAGGGTTATACTACAAATGTCTTGCACAAGAGACATCTGATCTAAGAGCATCTTCATCACAATGGAAATGTCACTCTCTTTGCTTCGATGCAAATTTGGAAAGCCTCATTCTCTACCCATTTTCAAGTTTCAATCTCACAGTTACTTAGTCACTGTTACACCTCAGTGTTAAAAAATTCAAACGACTCCTCTTCTGCCAGTCAAAGTGATTGATGTCGTGCTGATTAAGAAAACAACAAGATGAAATGGTCAAGGAAATTCACACAAGAACAAATCCACTCTAATCAGGGTTGTCAAAAGTAGCTGGCTTCCGGCGAAAATTGCCACCTACTTGGTTAGTATTGGCCGGCTACTCTGCTTGGCATTTCTTTACGGATGATGTTTTTTAAATAAGATATCCCTGGACTGGCTGCTTACTTTGACAACACAGCCGTCTACTTCAAAACTTTCGGACAACCCTGACTGTAATTAATGCCAAATAGTAAAAATACAATACAGTTTACATGGGTTTATTTCAAGTCAAAGTTTGACTGAACAAACAATATGCCTGTAGGTTTCAAATGACACAATTCACATCTTTGGAGTGAGTGCAAATCAAGCGTCTCAAATTTCAATTTTCGATCTCGCTGTTATTTAGTCGCTGTATCACCTCCCTATTAAAAATTGAAACGACTCCTCTTCTGTCAGTCAAAGTGGTTAATTTCACGGTGGTCAAGAAAGCTGTTGCGAAGACATGAGTCGTAATCAAAGAGAGTAGGCGGAGATAACTTGAATCAACTGTATTGTTTAGGACCATAGATAGTTACATTGAACAATGAGCGAATACAACAATGGTCGTCGAAGAGAAAACTAAGCAAACATCAAAACCATGTGCTTTTTATTCGGGACTTATCCTAATTGACAAGACGGCTGACAGTGAACAATAACAAGCTAATGAGCAAACAAAGGGACAACTGTTCATATGACTAGAGTCTTAAGAGTCTATTGGACAAAAGCTACGTAATCAAGTAGTCTATAGTATTCCGGCAAGATCAATCTACTATACTTTATTCCAAAAATTTCAGGTTCAATGGTTCTCACGCTATGTGATTCACGTCGCGCATGAAACGAGACATGACTGGTAACTTACTTTTGAGCGGTACTGTAAGAGGAAACATCTTTACAAGTATAAAAACATTTGTGATGCATCTGCAATGTGCTTCTGCTCCACAGTTCTTTAATCATGTACCTGACGACCGTGCGGTGCGGGGTTCAAGCTCTACCAGTGAAATTTTTTTTTTTTTTGTTCGCCCTCTTTTTTCTTGGCATTTTGTTGTTCTTTTAATTTCTAATTTAATTTTCTACAGCATGGTTAGAGATCCTACCAAATTTAAGACACACAGGAGTCTTTCAGATTAGTACGATGGTTAACTTGGGGACTGGATTTCAAGAATCTTTGACTCGTCCAGACGAGAAGATGAGCATTTGCTCTTTGACTCCCCAAGATCAGGGGGAGTATACAAAATGTAATTCCAACCAGCTGGAAAGTGATCTGAAAGTGAGAAAATGTCATTCTATGCTATTCTTTGAGAACCTGTATGAGCAGAAAATGGATGTGATTTTGACCATAAGCTTCAAAATATCAGTGGAAATCGAGATAAGAAAACGTATGTTTTGCTTCCTACTTTGCAGACAAGTTGTATTGGAATTGTATGGCATACCGTAAAAATTCCAAAAATAAGCCCCTCCATGTATAAGCCCCCCCCCCAAATATAAGCCCCCCAAACGGGTAACGCAAAAAGTCCTCTGTTAAATCGCCCCTACAAATATGAGCCCTCTGGGGGCTTGTACTTGGAATATTGCCCTCAAATACAAAGTAAAACAAAGCAAAAACAGTAAATTCTACTTTTAGCCCAATCCATTTTGAAAAGTAAATTTCCCTCTGTAAATAAGCCCCTCCGAATATAGGCCCCTCCAAAAATAAGCCCCTCAAAAAGGGCCATTGAAAAATATAAGCACAGGGGCTTATTTTCAGAATTTTACGGTATGTTCTTTCATTGCCATGAAATGCGTTTACATTGTGTTTTTACTGCCAATAGCCGGGTCAATACGGCTCCATAAACTTTACAAGGCTTTCGCCGGTGGAAGTTTTGTGGAAAAGGAATTAAATTGAAGACTTTTTGCCAGATTTACATAATCATCAAAAACTGAAACAGTAGCCACATGTAGTCAGAGACTGCCCTTTATTAATTATGAAAAAAGAACTGGCATTTTTTCAATTGCTTAAAGAAAAATATAAAATATTTGAACATACAATATAAGTAAATTATAAATAATATTTATAAATAAAAAAATACAAAATAATAATATTATAAAATATAAATAATATAAATGAATATAAGTGAACTAACAAAGTAAAAATTTTGTCCTTGTTTACACCCTCCATGAAACATGAAATTTGACATTTTCACGCCGTAGTTGCGCAGTTGTACAAAAAAATAAAAAATTTGTGATGCATATGCAAAATTCTTATTTTTCTAATTAAAGCTACTCAGCTCCATGTAGCTGTACTACACTCCCCAAATACACAGGAGATCATGGCAAGCTGTAGTGTAGACTACACAGGCAGTAGTTGAAATTTTTATGCTTAGTGTGTCATACGCAGTGTTTAAAACATAATTACAAAATATATGTACAAATTTTATTCTTTTTGGGCTATTTTGAAAAAATAGCTTCTAAAACCAGAAAGATTATTATTTTATCTGCTTCAAGGGAGAGTGTAAATGATCATATATTTTTCAAAGTTCCTCCAATGAAAGAATAATTGAAATTTAGATTTGGACTAATTCTGAAGTATGCGGCCTATAAATAATAGTGGTTTTAGAAGTTTGAAAGGCAAGGCGAGTATTGTTAATCCTGTAAACAAGCTTTATTCTCTTGCTTACAAAGTTCAACAGACCTCTTTTATACCAGCCAAAGAAAAAACATTAATTTGGTAAACAACATGGAACATGATTGCTGCTTAAGAGTCATTATAGTTATTGAAATGATTGTATTTTATTTAGTCAAGATGCATAATTTAAGTAGGAACAGTAACATCAGGGAATTAAATGAGAAGAGGCTAGTTGACAAAATAATAATTACACATTGTCTTATTGAGTGGAATAACATGATGTGAGTAGAAATATAATTATTTCACCAGTTTGATAATTTTCTTGGAAGGAAATGTTAGGCTATCAACCTTAACATTGCATGAAACATAATTTAATTGCAGAATATTGTAAAGCCAAGGTTATTTCTTAAAATCGTTTGAGCAAATTTTCTAGTAAACAATTTGCGTTATTTTACATACAAATTGTAAAACGGACAAAGTCCAACACCTTCACTTGCACCTTCACTTATGATCCTGTTTATTGAATTCCCTCATGTACGAGCCACGAAAGGGGCAAGTCCAGCACTTTCACGTGCAAACTGTATGACTGTATATCTCGTGCAGACTGACTTTTCACAGCAATGTATGTTAAACATGCCTATGTTTTTGTCTTCCTTGGCAACTTCTGAAGGCTTAATTTATGATTATTGGTGTCAGGCATGACACCTAAGTGAAAACTACAGTCATAGATACACAAAATACATTTGACAGGAAAGAGGATTACACTTCACCAAGTGGTGTGAATAACCGAGGGCTGATAAAACAAAAGCAAAACTTGCAAAGTTTGCACAGTTTGTGTGATGCTTATTTTGGACATTTCTTGCCACCAGGGGTCAATGCACGACTTCAACTTCAACTGTTCACTGCAATTGCAAAATAGCGAAAGAGGCTTTCAGAATTGTGCTTTACATTACAACTTTTTACATGCAGGATTGCGCTTAGCTTGTTTTGTTTTAAAACAGTAATTTGTCTGTTGAGATGTACAATGTTGTATGCTATTAAAAGACAGTGTTTTTGTACTGTGAATTACCGGTAATAATTAAAGAGGAGCCTGGTTTTAGCTACTGAACACTTAAAACTGTGAGTGGAGTCATAAAAGTGATGTCATCGTAGTGACCTCTTTTATATGGACACCTTTGTAATACAAACACTTCACTCTGTCCCTTTGGTGTCCGTATTAGAGAGGTTTGACTGTATTTTATGCCTGGTGGGAAAAATTACTTCTGGTTTACCATGCTATACATCTCTAGTTATTGTTTAAATATATACTAATAATAGTCATAGTTATTTTAAGCTAACTAATAATTCATTTCAGTGGCAAACAGGGTCTGGGTGTGAGGGCAGTTATGGCAACCCCTCATTCATTAAGTCCCTCCACATTGACACAAATGTGAAAGTTTGGACAGGTGTGACTGACATCTGAAACGTGGAAGTCCCTTCAGCTTGTCTCATCCAGTTTTTTGTTTGCTTTTTACAGAATGAAGCTAGCTAAATTTATTTTTTGGAAGAGTCCATTGTTATTAACAAAACAATTATTCCACTTGCACTTGTTGGATACGAGGTGCTGGCCAGCAAGTGCTTGGTTGGCTATTGTACCAGTGTCTGTGTATGAATTGCCTCAGAAAAATGTAAGAAAATGAGCCATTTAAAATCTTCCCCATTATTAAGAATATTTCAATGTGAAAATCTTTGTATGGTCAACAGTAAACTGGATGTGTCAAAATCTGTGCAGGTTATGGGTGTTACTTTGTTGTTAATATTTCTCTTCAACCATTTCCTAGGTAACACATGGTCCACTCACAATGGCAGAAAAGTGCAAATTCCTATTAGAGAAAATTCAAGATTATTTCCATCCTGAGCGTGGATATGAAAAGACCTTTTTGAAAGGGACTTTTGAGGGAGCTAACAACTTCCCTGTGGTTCCCTGTGACCTGTTTGGTACTGAAGAGGATAAAAGTTTCCAGTTTAAATCACTACTACACTATGTTGAGCAGACCATCCTGAATCCTTGGAGTAATAACCAGTTTGAGTTCCTAGTTCTGACTCATCATGAGGATGACAGTTTAAACCAAGTGAACTGCCTGTCAGTCCTTAGTGCTTTGGCCTTTGCAAAAGGTGACAGAACATGTTTAGAAGAAGTAAAAAGTTACTTTACATCTCCTGATCAGTACCATCCCAAAGCTGGCCTCCTGATGAATACCCTTGGGATAATGTTTACTGAAGTTGCACTTTATGAGGAGAGTGAAGACTGCTTCAGAATTGCCAAAATTTGCTTTCAGCAACAACAACACTGTCTGAAAAATGCAGTAGTTACTCTGAACCAAGCTTTTCTGAAGAAGGTTGTGGGTGAATATGAAGAAGCAGCAGATCTCACTGCCATTGCAGCTTCCTTGTGCCATGACATCTCTATGAGAAAAACAAATGATGTTCACCTACCGGTGAAGTTGCTGGGAAGAATTGCTAATATGTTAAAGGAGTTTGGAAACTACCAGCTGCTAAAAAAGATTCTGACAGTTGTTGTTCTCTTTGACATCCCAGGTGCTGACAGAACTGCTACAACTGTTTTATCCAGGCAGTTGATGAAAATCCAGCTTGAGGGAGTGGATAAAAAAATTAAAGCCAAAGAAGTGAAAGATTTTATCTTCCATTTACTTGCTTTGCTGGCTAAACCAGATGCTTCTAAGGTATCAATGAATGCTGAGCTCTTAAGAATTGTTGTCATTGCAGCAAAGATTTGTCGCAGCATTGGTCTATGCAAAGAAGCTTCTGAGTTATTAAAGAAGTTACAAAGTATTTTCCTTCTCGTCCATGGTGAAAATAGTTTTCTTTATGGATCATTACTATACCAAATGGGCTGCTTCCTGCATGGCTCTGGAAGGTTTAATGATGCTGAGACTGCACTGAAGCAGGCTGAAGGTATCTTGATTTGTTTTTGTGGAGAAAATCATCATTCAGTTGCCTTGTGCAGGAGTGTCCTGGGTTCCTGTATTCTGCTAAAGGGCAATGCCAAAGATGCCTCAGAATACCTAAATAAGGCCTTAACAATTTTCAAGAAGCTAAGTCCCTTTCATCCAGAAGTCGGAGAGATTCTTTTGAAACTTGCCTTCTTGTATTCTGAAGAAGGATTAAGTTTTCAGCAAGCCCAAGAAACCTTGCAAGAAGCAGAAGCTATTTTCAAATTATCCTGTGGTGAGGTATCTTGCAAGACAGCTAGTATGTACTTTCAGGTAGGAATGATCTTGCAGAGGTTTAAACAGTTCCGTTTGTCAGCTGTTGAGAAAACACAGAAAGGCATAGATGTAATGTTAAATCTTGGAATGAGTTTAAATCATCCTGATGTCATGTTTTGGAGCAGTTTTCTGGGCATCTTAAAGCAGTCCTTGGGCATGGTAAAAGAGGCAGAAAAGTGCTTTATTGATGTCCAAAACTGTGTTCCCTTTTGTGATGAAGTAGGCAGCAAGGAAACAGAAATCATTACCCCCAAAGTCTTCCTACACTCCCAAGACAGAGCTGATTTTAGCGGAGGCAAATCTTCATTTGCAAAAGCTCAGGTTATTTCTCTTGTCAATTTGGTACACATGGAAAGAGGCAACAAGAGAATCCAGTATCTTGATAAACTTGTGTGCTGTTTGAAAAAAGAACAAATGGAAGAAATCCAAATAAGGAATTTTGCTGGCCAAGATTTGTATCTATTTACTCACAGGATTCCTTTATTTAACAGACCTGCAGTCTTAGTTATACACACATTTGATTCATTGGGTGATATATCTGGAGCAGACTCTGACAACGGCACTGATTCAAAAATGTTCTTGTCATCCTCTGCAGAAAAATCACCCTTTAGTTTGTTTTTGAGGATTCAAGGTAGAGGTCTGGACATGAAAGAAATCAACTGCCTGACTTCTTCCTTCCGCGAGAGTGTAAAAATCTTATTTTTGCAACCAAAGTTTAGAAAAGGTTTTGTAGAGGGAAAGGATGTGTATGTGGAACTCCCAGCTCAAACAGACATCTTTTCCCTTTCAAGTTACCTTGACTGTCTCCCTTTAGTTGTGAAACTGGAGTTGACGAAGGCACAAGAACTGTACAATGATTTTGATTACTTGACGTCTTGGCAATCTTCTGTGGACTCTGCTATGCATTCTGCACCACATGTCTCTTATTTTTCCTATGGTTGTGTCAACCAGCGTGAGACAGAGTTTGTCTGGGACCATTTGATCCAAAATTTTGGTCAACAATTGGCACTAAATGGTTTCCAAGAAAGTATCATTTCTGATGTTTCATTAGAAGAGAATGTTGCTAGATTCATTGTTCAAGAGTCAAATTTGTTTTTAACTATTGATGTCAGGAATCTTTCTGTCATTGTGAAATGTTGCACTATTAAGGAATCATGTTCTAACTGTCATTGTTCCTCAATAAGAAATATGCTGACTGTTACCATTGAGTCATTATTTGAAATTTTGAATGTTGACATTGAGTCCTCTGTGCAGCTGGGTTGTGAAGGTGTTCATGGCATTGTTCTTGGCAATGATGATCATGATGGTAACTGTAGCCAAAGTGTCGACAAAGACTTAGTTGGTTCTGGTTCAACATTTGAAACTTGGAATTCAACGATGACATGTCAGTGTAGTATTTCTGGGGGTGCAGAAGCAGATTCGAAAAAATGGACAGTTGGCAAATTACACAATAAGGTAAAACCTATCTTAAACAATAAGGATTAATGAAAAAATAGAAATGAAATTTTAATCTCAGTTAGTGAATAAGAAAAATGGGTTACAGCTGGTCAAGGCAGGACAAGACATAGTGTACCCCCCCAAGATCCTATTAATGAATTTGAAAAATGAATCTGTTAGTTGTTCCCATAACTAGTGTTTATTTTAAATCAGCATTCCTATATGTGTAATGAGCGCAGTGAATTTTTTATAGCAACTTCGCTGTATTTGTTCAGATTGAAAATCTTGGAATGGATAAAATTGCTTTGAAGATATCTACATCAATTTATTCTGAGAAACTGATCTGGCATGCAAGAATGCAGAGATGAATCTGAAATCTGTAATGGAATTTTGGGGTCCATTATAAATCAGTATATTTCAAAGAGCTACACAACAACCAAGAATACTATTGACCCAATTGGTGATATATTGATACATCAGATGAAGCAAACGGTAAATCTAATTGGCCACTTTGAGGTTGTGTGGGAGACTGGGTTGAGATGGATGTCAAGTGCATTGTGGGACTGTTTTGGGGTGATCTCTAACAAGTCTCCCATGCAACCTCAAAGTGGCCAATACATTTCAGTGCTCGACCTTAACTTTTTAAATTGCTGGTCCTTGGACTAGTTGAACTGAAAATTTACTAGTCCTGAGTAAATCTGTGGTAGTCCCTCCTGATTGCAGCATGACAATATTATTTGCAATATCTTTTTACGATTAAATTTCTGAAATTACTGCTGCCGCTTATAAAACTGGATGCATCACTTGATTTCTCTGGAAAATCAAGGCAGGTTGAACAAAACATTTTCACAACATTGTAAATAACCCAAGGAAAAGTGTTTTTCCATTCAGGGTGGAAATGCCTGACTTTAATGGTTCGATCCTCTTGATCATATGAAGATTTCTTGGTCATTTTATTGCTGTTGCTCTCTTTTGTCTCCAATGTCTTTTCTGTGTCACCACTACCTTCTTTCTGGCGTTTGTTTGGAAAATCGCTGCTGTTAGAACTAGAAAAATACGTCTCTAATCTCTTCATGATAATAACATGGGCAGTCGAACAAAGATGGTGGGCTGGGAGTTCCTTAGTGCCCAGTCCCAACCTCAGCCTTGTTTAGTCTTCTCACCTCAGTCCTCGCATTGGACTATCATTTTTCGCAATCGGAACATTGCGAGGAACGCATCGAAACAGCGTTTAGAAGACATATATTTTGTTTTCACCTTGTATTATTTTTTAAACATTACAAACTACAAAGTAGTTACTGGTCCTGTGACTAGTGGTTCTAAGTTTCTACTAGTCCGAAGCATTTTGCACTAGTCCAGGATTAGTGGACTACCGCTAAGGTCGAGCACTGCATTTACTAATAAAATAAGGGTTATACACAAGCAGATTGTGTGGGCACCCTGTGGTGAAACAAAAACAGTTAATGACTGTGTGAAATTTAACCTAATGTACAGCTGTTTCGAGAAAAGTTGTCTGAAAAAGTGCACGGGACAATCCCGAAAGGTGTTGTGGGTGGTTTTGTCTGCCCTGATCTCCAAAGAAATTTGAAAGAATGGCACGAGAGGCCACGGACATATGTTCGCGAATGCTAACGGAAAGCAACAAAAGTAGGTTTGACAGCTACAATCGTTAGGAATAGTGTATTGATCATATCCCATATTACCTTTCGGGATTGTCGCGTGAACATTTTTCCGACAATTAACCTTTCTCGAAATAGCTGTATAAAGATGAGTAAAGCTTTGCTCCAGATTTACAGTGGGCTTAATTTACAGGAGCTGTGTTAAAAAAATAGTCTTTCTGCAGGTAACCATTATCGCAAAAGAAAAAGAGGAACCAAACAATGGCTCTTGTTTGGTTGTATTGAACGCTTTCTTTTGCTGTACATAATCTGTGCCTCGGTACCTACAAAAGGAACCTGTCTAAAAAATGCTGGATGCTTAGCCAAGGCTAGAAAAATTAGTACAATCCTTTATTGAAACACATTCAGTGTTTATATTAAGCAGATAGCATCAATTTTGTTGATCATTTGTTTGTATTCTTTTTGGTAACAGAATGCAGACATCATCCATCCTTTATGCCATCCCTGTGACAATTGTCAACATGTAGATGTTGGCCTATGCCTTCTAGAGTGCCTTCTGAATCAGTCAAGACCTGTATTGTATACTAGAGAGAAAGAATTGAACAATGGTGAACCCACTTCAAATGATGTTAATGGGTGTGTCAGCCACATTACACATAATTCCAGTCTGTCCTCAAGTATCTTTTCAAGTGCTACTTCATCTTCATTGAACTCAGTGCCTGCAAGCCCGTCTACTTTCTCTTTAGCTGGTGATAGCCTATTCACATCAACAACATCCCCAAGTGAGAGCTTATCATCTGTTGACAAACTGAAGGAATGCAAGGCAGATTCCTCTTATGATGATAATTCATCAAGAATTACAAAGTGCAGTGGACTGTCTGTTAGTTTACCAAAGGAGCCTTCAGTGCCTGTCGATACATGTGCATTTTCACAATCAAGTTACAAGGAATGCTTAAATGCAGAACAAAGTTGTTCTTTTTCTGAAACACAGAATACTAAACAGTCAAAACCTTTCACCATTGAAAACATCAATGGACCTGAGGAACTGAAGATAAGTTCTTCTGATCAGAAAGCTGCAGTACAGAATATTTCTTCAAAGGACAAGAACTCAAGTATTAGTAATGACAGCAAGCTCTCAGCAACTCAGTGTGTTGAAGATTTATGTGCAAATCAAAGTTCAAAGCTTGAAGAACCTCTTCAGAGTATTCAAGGACCATTCTCTGGGGCAAGTTCAGACAAAGTTGACACAGGAACTGCAACTGTGGATTTTTTTAGAACTTTGCTGGCCAATTTGGAGGATGAGTTGGCAGCTTCTCAGAGGGATCATCATGAATTAGAACAACAGTTTAGAAAACTTGAAGAAAAATTGAAGGAGAGCGAGGAGGAGAAACGTGAGCTTCAAGCTGATCTAGGGAGATTTCTGTTCCTGGAAGAAAAGGCAAGACGCCGTGGAAGGCTCCTTGGTGGGGCAACTGCAGTACAAGAGCCTGGTAAGCCAGAGATGTACAGCTGAGCTTTCAATGTACTGATTAAACTATTTATCATAACAAAAACGAAATTCTCAAATCTCATTGGCTATCAACTGGCCTCATTTCAGCGCTAATTAAGTAACTGGACAGTATGCGCCATCGCACTTGTGCACTTACATGTAAATGGCTTTTTTTTCACTGCTAGCAGCCTAAAATATCACAAATTTTGTTATAGTCATGATTAATATTGGTATCAGAACTTCGTATCGTCCAATTCAGTCTGTAACCACATTCTCATGATTTAACAAATTTCATTTGTCCGTTGTATGATTAGAGACCGAATTGGACTCCACTCAGTCCTTTTGCCATTATTAACTTGCGTTTGCTGCTGAGAATATTAAATAACTGCTTACCTTAGTGGAGAAGGCAAAGCCAGTACCTAGATAGTCACATCCTGACTGCTGGTTAATTATAACCTGTGCCTTTCAGCCATGAGCCCCCATGCCAATGGAACCAGGTACCTATCACTCTTTTCATCAGTGGAAAAATAAAAGGGAGCGGGGATGGGGGTAAATGCTCAATACAATGGCTAAGTAAAACAATTGGCCACCAGGAAATGCTGTGCTAAACACATGGAGCTCATGCAATACTGACCACATTTGAGCCACCAAACTGACTGCAGACAGACAACAAGAGATGGTGCTCCTTGTTAACTGCCATGAATTTCATATGACTTCATGAAAAAGAGAAAAATTGTCTTTTCTAAAACCCTCTTTGGGGGGGGGGTGGTGGGGAGGCATTTAGAAAAGGTCATGAAAGGGGTAATGGACAATGAGTACAGGTAACAAGTAACAGGTTTGCCAGCAATGATCTTTTTTAAGGGTGTCCAGTGTATGCCTCACTTGCAGGTCACTGTGTTAAAGGGACAAACTAAAGAAAGTTGGAAGGCTACATTGTACAGATGTATGCATCGCATGTATGCAAAATCATCATGTTGACCACAAATAACGTTATTAATGTCATATGCAGTAATTTTTCACAGTCGAACATTGTCCAGTAACCGAATGTCGTAATATCTGTATACAATTTTTGTGCTTATATTCAGGCAAATACCAGATCTTGCCTAGGTGTTATTCTTAGTGGACAATAATTATTTTGCAGTTACCTAAAAGTTCTTAATTATTTTTGTTCCACTAGGTCTCCTCCTGCATTCAAGGCTCCTAGAGATCTCTAACTCATTGTCATCTACAGAAATGGAAAAGATCAAGTTTTTGCTCAAAAGCAAAGTCAATGATTTCAGACTTGCACGTATAACAGAGGCGTTTGAACTGTTTGAAGAACTGGTAACAAATGGATTGTTTTCCTTAAACTATATTGGGCAACTGCTTGGTGGAATTCAGCGATATGATCTTGTGGAAAAACTTGGAATTCATGCACCCCTATCAAGGAGTAGAAAAGGTCAGAGAAAGTTCATCAAATTTAAAACAATGATTATATGAAAAAGTTTATTTTGAAGTCAGGGTACAATCACACTAATATCCAACAATGGTTAATTGTGCAGGAAAAACACCTTCTTGGTAGTGACTGTGGGTTGACTGTGGATTGTTTCTTGGCTGACTGCCCATCAACCGTCTGGCCTGTTCTTCACAATATTATTATCCACCTACCTCTAAACTTGCCCTCACTGTAGAAAACTATGGAGATGAGGGTAGAAAATTATGTTGCTTGATTCCCAAAGAAAAAGAAGTCTGTAAGAGGTTTAAAGTAGAACTGGCAATAAATTACATGCGAGATGTTGCTTGATATAGCCAACAGTTATATCAGCCTCTTTCATCTCTGTGTTCTCCAGCGATTAGCCTAAGTGTTTTCAGGCTGTTTCTCAACCCCATTTCTGGGTACTACTGGATTTTAAGAAAACCATGAAAAAAAGTGTCTAAGGGCCCTGCCCCTGTTTTTGTACTAATTTAATTACTGCAAACTTACAACTTGCACCAAGAATGCTAGCAAGTCATCAACTGAAAATAAAATTGTACGTATAGATATATTTGACTAAGTATAGCAACTCAATAAATCAGAATGGGACATTTTACGTATGTGTGTTAAGTGCACTGGCCTTTGCAAAGAAGCAAGGCTGGAGGTGAGTTTGGTTTTTTTTGCAAGCCTTCTTGCTTTTCTGTGGCAAATTGTATTATTCTCCTGCTTACAAGTCTGTTTACAAGATTATTTAGATGTGAAAACTGGAAGGTTTGTAACAGTAGAGGGTTGCTTCATTCTATTTGTTCAAAGGCCAAGGCATCAAACACAACTGTCAATAGTCTACTGACCAAATGCTAGACATTCTTACAATTCTGTAAAGAAAAATGTTGTTTATGATGAGCTAAAAAAGTTGCAATCACCATTTTTTCCTGATTCTGATTGTTCATGCTATGCACACTAAATCACAATGGAAATGGGAATAATCCAAAATTATCACAACTGTCAAGGGAGTACAAAACAAAGGCATGTCCTTTAATTTGAGGTTTAAGTATTTTTGCACCTTTAACATTGAGCTAATCATGTGATGTACATGTATGCAGTGCTGGACTTTCAGAAAAAAACTTGGGGCCAGCTGGCCCCTAAGTTTTCATTTTTGGTCACCAAAGCGTTTCGACAAATGGTTAGAGGTTTAGACGAACGGTTAGAGCGTTTGGGCAAAACGTTAGAGCATTAGAAAAACTGTTAGCTATCTGTGAGTTTTGTGAAGGATAGCAGATTATCATTAGTGTACGTTTTCCCGAAGAAGAAAGTCACCTATCTTGGGGGCCAGGTTGGCGACCAAGCATGAAAATTTGTCACCACTGAGTAAAAGCTGGTCGCATATTAAAGCAACCCCACAGGTCGCAACGTCGAGCCCTGAGTATGCAGGCTCTTATTTGTCGATACTGCAAGTCAGTACAAAGAATCCCCTCACATTGCATAATTCCTTTTGTTGTTGTTTTTATAGGATCAAACAGTTCGGTTGAGTCAGACCATGCTTCAGATTCAGCCAAATCTGCCCCTGCGCAAGACAACATTTTGGATGAACAGACAGATGGACCTGAAATGAAGATACAGATGGATTATGCACTTTCCTCAAAAAGTCACTTTGAGCTCACAGGCAGGGATGAAAATGGCACATCACTAAGAGCAGATGAAATAGATCATGGTGAAAGCCAATGCTCATCAATTTTATCCAGTGGAAGCTCAGTTGAGGAAGACAGTGACATATGTTTGTCAAGTAAGAGTGTAGAAAATGTTGTGCTGGTTGAAGACAGTCCTCAGTCACCCATCCATTCAGATGTTATGTTCGTGTCAAATTCCAGTCGCAGCTCATCTGATTTGTTGGCAAATTCTGACAAGACTGCACCAGCAACTTCTAACAGCACCTTACAAGCTTCTTGTGAAGTTGATGGCTTTCAAGTGATGTCAGATGGTTCCCAGTCAGCCTCTGGTTACAGCAACTCCAGTCCTACAAGATGGGATACCCAAGGGATCTCTCATGTGATGGCCAGACCAGACAACCAGCTAGCAGATGAAGATGGCCAGCTAAAAGGAGCATGTGCCGGCAATGGCAAAGAAAGAGTGGTTAAGTCACATGATTTCTGTGATGGAGCAGTAATGGCAGTTCCATATTGCACAAAGACAATCCCCGAGTGTACAAAAAGAGATTCTTTAATTAGTTCAGATTCATTCCTTGCCAGAACTCATAATATTCCAAATGGAGGAAGTGTTTTTTCAACACAGCAGCATGTATTTTCAGAAGACGAAAGAGAAATTACTCCACCATCATCAGATGCAACAGACTGGAAACGTCTAGGTGCTAGACCAAAGGAACCTCAACGTACAGTTGATGGACTAGTACCAAAAGAGCCTGTTGTATATATAACTGATGGCTTAGCCGGTGATTTCTTAGCGAGACACACCCAAGACAAGGCCCTTCATGACAGTATCTACCAAACTGATGTTGGTTCTCTCTTCAATGACATTCCATCTCAGGGGACTTCCTTTATTGACGGTGACATATCTCAATTTAGCAGAGCCCAGCCTTACTTTGGGGATTGCCAGGCTGCATCCAGGACAGAGCCACATGGTAGAACTGGACATTCACTTGTAAGTGGATCTAGTAGACATCTGGGTGGCTCTTCTTATGTGGAACCTTTCAGTGACAACTCAGGACTTTGGCCTAGCCATTTGGGAAATGATTCTTCCTCATTGTATAGTAACTATTTATCAAGAAATACTTCAACTGCTGCAAACAACTATTCTCTTCAAAGTGATTTTGTACATAATAGCGGTAGATTTGCAGGAGTTGACCATTTTGACAGACAGACTTATTTGCCATCAGCAAAGCAAACACCATTTCCTCCTATAGCAAGTGATCCTGTTCTAAATAGTTATCCAGGAATGGCTGGTTCAAGTTTTGCTGACCCTTCATGGACAGGTGCTGTGCTAACTCTACCTGGGGATCCTGTACATAATGCACCAAGATTTAGTAGCTTTTTAAGTGAGCAGCTTACAGACCCTGCTCATGATGCAAATAGGTTTGCTGGGAATGATGCCGCTTCAGCTTTTACCTCTAATCAGGGCACAGATGAGCCAGCTCAGAAACCAAATTTTGCACTTGGAAATTCAAGGACAACAACCGGAAACATTGATGATGATGGAAATTCCTCTGCACGGTATCAGCTTGGAAATTCCACAATGTTTGATGGTGTTTTGGCAGCGAGATCTACACATGATACACCTGTTCTAGAACCTCATCTTGGTGACGCTGACAATAATTCTGCGTTAAACAATACAGACTTTGGTACTGATTCTATAGAAGCCTCAGACAACTCATTGCTTGCTCTTGAACGGCGTGTTGCAGAAGCTTGTGCCCTTGTTGAACGCGTTCTTCGGGAGAGAGAGGAGCGAGAACAGTTTGGAAGGGAGATAGAAAGGAAAGAACAGTTAATAAGAGAACAAAGAGCTCGAGAAAGGCGGGAGAGAGAAGAAAGAGAGTTGCGGGAAGCTGAAAACTGGCCACAAGAACAAGAAGCAATCAATGCACGTTCACAGTGGTTATGTGAACATTATCAGCGGCACTGCAGAGTGCGATTCCCTTGTTGCACACAATTCTATCCATGCCATCGTTGTCACAACATCTCAAAAGCTTGTGACAATGAAGAGGCTAAAGCTTGTCATGCCACTCATCTGAAATGCTCTCACTGTCAGCATGAACAGGAGGTAAGCTTTGTTTTCATGTTTCCTGAAACTTAAATTTAAAAATATTAATTTATTCTACATTATACATGTACCCAGTACACACTTTTTCAAAATGTACCTTTCAATGAGATTTTGGGTTTTGCTGTGGAAGTGTTATTTTCCTTCATCTTAAAGTATAATGGGGTTTTATGATTACTACACTGTATCTTAGCTAAAAACAAAGTATGATAAATGTTTTTAATAGCTTAAAAATAGAATAATATATTGAATCTCAACATGATTATAAAATCATTTCAAGTGTCTTGATTACTGCTAAACTCACAAACCTGTGAACACTAGATTGGTTAATTTTTTATTTTGTGTTTTTAAATCCTGATGTTTTATGAAGTGCTGTCCTCTTGATACATTGTATCTTCAGTTTCATCAACACCATATTTTGTCTGTGTCATTTTTACAGATTGGTGAAGACAGTGCAAAGTGTCGTAAGTGTGGGGGCAAAATGTCGGCATATTTCTGTCCCATCTGCAAGCATTTCACCAGCGTCGATAAAAATCCATATCATTGTGAAAAATGTGGGATTTGTAGGTAGGTGACTTGGGATTATCTATTGTTATTCTGGCAAAATTGTGACTGTAATAATAAACATTGTTCCTGTGAAACACACAGACACTTCATGTAAGAAAAGGGCATAATATTGGTCTTGAACATTGCGAAACTGTTTAGCCTAGTGTTTGTTGTGTTTAGATAGTGGACAGGCTGCAAAGGAGAGATCAGAGTAGCAGAAAACTGCTTTTTTTGTTCTGATGTCCATCAGGCACAAACACAAACAGACAGGACTAACAAGTCTATTTTGCACCATTCCCTACTGTCTGATTGCATGGAAGCGGCTAGCCAGGAATAATTTTATCAGCAAAGTTCTTCCTTCTTGAAGTGGCTCTCTTTGGGCCTGTTTACATGGAGGTGGGGGACTCCAGGTAGCTGAGGTAACCCGCCTGTCCATATAGACTTTCTTTTCAATTTGACCACACGTTTATGTGATAGGTGGGGTGACCCACTCCCTGTTACCTCACCTATCTGGGGTCCCCCACCTCCATGTAAACAGGCCTTTATTTGATCCATTTTCAGTTTTCCATGGCTAGTAGAAATGAAATGACTTGACTTGTTTGGATGGGTTATGTAATAAATGAAGCAAAAGCTGTGTGATGGGTAATTATTGTTTTTTTATCATTATTTTAGGATTCATCAGGACAAATCGTTCCATTGTGAAGTGTGTAACGTTTGTTTAGACAAACGGCTTGAGGGTAATCACAAATGTCGACCAGATTCAGGTCATGACGAATGCTGTATTTGCCTGGAGGTGAGGTTTAATTTCTTGAGGAAAAGGGTACTGAATCGTTGATGAAAATGAGGTCGCCTTTTTTGAGAGTGAATAGAAAGAGGTCTTTGAATAAGGGCCTTAGTTGTTGACAAACATATTGCCATATCTATTATCATATTATAATAAATAATATTTCAAGAAGTTTGCCATGCTAATCGTCTTTTCCATTAATTGCAGGATGCATTCAGTGGTTGCCAGATATTGCCATGTTCACACAAAGTACACAGAGAATGTGCTATTGCCATGATACAAAATGGCATGTAAGTCAATATCAGGTCATTCATTCATGACATAATAAATGTACCATATCTTAAGAAGTGAGGGCTAAGTATCAAGTAGTACACCTGCAAAGGAAATTGAGAAGAAAATGAAAACAAGACAAATAGCTCTCATGAATGTTTATGGCACACCCACAAATTTCAAAACAGAGGGAATGTTAACTTATGAAGTATCTCAGCAATAAATTCCCCAGAAAGTTAGTTGGAAAAGAATACTTTCTGCTACAAAAACAGCGAAAAAGTTGAATACAAACGAATTGTTGTCTTGAAGGAAATTGCCCTTATCATTATGCCTTTTCACAGGTACTATATGCATGTGAATAAGACAAAATTTGAAAGGAACAGTTCAGAGGAGTGACCTTCATTGGAAAAACAAAACATACCAGCTAAAGAGGCCTGTTAAGAGCATCCCAGGCCTAGTTGGAGCACAGCCCTCTTGTGCTTTAGTCCTGTATTATTGCGAAGTGATCACTATTGGTGAAATGTGGTGATTTACATACCTCACAATTACGTACAGAAAATGTTTAGAGAAATGTGTGAATTTCAGTGCAGGATCCAGACCTTGAGATAAGGGGCGGGGGGGTCTCCAAAAAAAGTTTTTTCGGCCCTTAGGGCCGGCGGCCTCCGTTTGGTCTAAAAATAAGGTGGGGCCCAGACCCCTCGCACCCCTCCCCTGAATCCGCCACTGGATTTGCTGCCAGACATTAAGGCAGTTTAGGTTCAATGGTTGTCCGTGTTTCCGGCTTTTAGATGTCTGTTTCCCCCTTGACCTTTGCATTTTTTCATTGGTGGTAATAGTTCAGAGAATTGTCTTGGCTAATTGGTAATGATATTATTTTTGTCTTTTTCAGTCGCACCTGCCCAATTTGTCGACATCCATTGTACAGCCAGTCCAGGGAGTAAGTCTTCTGTTGTTAGCCTGTAGAAGAGTCATTATTTTTTTATTTTATTTTCTGGTGAGCGAGGACAAAAACAAAGCCGGCATGGAGTGTGCGCCGAGCAGCAGACATGCAAGATGAAAGGGAGGTGAAAAAAACCCGCCTAACTCTTGCCCTCACTTGCCTGAAAAAATCAAAAATATAATGCCTGTTCTGCAGACTATCTTATGCAGGAGTTGACACAGTTAACTTAACAGCGAGATGAGGTTTTGTATTTGAATTTCCATTAAAAGAATGTGGTGTCACTTAAGGTTATTATATTGTTTATGCTCGTGGATGATGCCTTACATGTAGCAAGGTGCTACAACTCAACTTAGTTCACAATCACATTGGAACTTACATTTGTGATTGTTGAGACTAAAGGCTGGCAGTTGTGATCTTCCAGTTGATTTTTAGGTTAAATTTTTGATGAATGGGATATTGAAATAATCAAGTTGAAATTGATAATGTTGTATCGGCATAGATTCTGCTTTTGTTGCTTTGTTTGAAAGAATTCTAGTCTGTTAAAGTGCTACTACGATCAAAATTTAATGTCAAGTTTGTTACAAAAACGCTTTCTTTTCAGCTTATCAGAAGTGGCTGTACCTGTTTCGGTCATTGAAGTGAACTTTGGCGCCCTGTTAGTGAAAATATTGAGCTTGAAAATGTAGGTTTTTTGCGTCCGCCATTACAAATTTATGTTCCAGTGACAAAGCTATTGTTCTCTGATTGTGACGTCATTTTCTGAACACGCCAAGAAAACAAACCTGAACCGTGAGAAAACAGCGAGCGATTCTCAAAGCTTCGCTCGTCTTCGCCCGATTCTGGAATTGTGAAGGAGGAAATCATAGATTACGATGACTCTGTAGAACCAGCACCGACTGAATATGAGAAAGTCAAATACTAAGGGCAGCTAGCCTCAGAGAAGGAAAAAAACACTCTTCACCAAGTCGTATTTTATGCAGTTTGTGCCGACGGAGAGTCGGACTACTACTGGTAGGTGTATTTGTATACGTACTGGCTATAATAATAATAATACACAGGCAAGACAATCGAGAGTCAGCACCAATTTCACCTGCCTTCTAGCCACTCTCGAGTGCTCATTTATCCAAGTGAAGATAAAGTTTTGCTTTATAGCTGTTCAGGCACAGCGAGTCAGAGTGGGTACAGTTTTCAGTTCAGCTAAGTTTAAGTTCTAAAGCAGCCAGCTCGTTGTCATATGCATGTGGTTTTTTTTTACCATCTTTAACGGACTGCTGTCCTTTGTTATTGAAAATTTAATTGTTACTTTAGTGTTGCGTATCTGAGCTGAGGATTTTAAAATTAGATCTAATGTTAAGTTCTCTTTGTCAGAAAAGTTAATTTACTCATTTTCAATAAAATAAGGGGATCACTCGCTCTTGATTTGGTATATCAATTTAATAATTTTCAGTGCTGACATTTAAGACTGTCACATTCTTTGTAGCTCATGTTTTTTTGAAAATGCTGTGTCTGCCTATGCCTTCCCTATCAATTGACTGCAGATCATTATGCAACTTATAAATTGCAACACTAATAAAAATTCAGAGATTTCACCTCATCCAACTATTGTCAATGATATCCCCTTGTATTCCCATAACTTTATAGATTACTTTATGAAATTGTTGTATGTGACTTTTTTTTTTTTAATTTATTTATTATTCAAACCCAGGTGTGCATATTTTTGGATGCTCTCTTTACTGGGACCAGCTTTGAAGCTTTGGCTAGACAAGAAAATTAATATACAGTGGAACGGTTAACACAGACATGTTATGATGTCTATATTAGCTGGGTGTCCATATTAAGTTAGCTCTCTGGAAAAAAGTCACAGACGTGTGATTTATTTGATATATAGCATAAAGGAACAAGGAGGAAGAAGGGTAGGAACAATGACTGTAGCAAAAAGCCAAGGACATGAAACTTATTGAGTAGGAGGCAGAAAATTTATCAAAGGACTACAAACAGGGGAAGAAAGAAAGACGTATCAAAATCAAATGTGTCATGCTATTTGGCTACCGTGAACTTAATACAATGTCTACAATTGGCACATCATTGTGACAAGAAAAATAGAAAGTGCCTGGGTAACCAGTGTCTGTAAAGCTGGATTAAGAATATAATGGAATTTCTGACTTGAAACACAGAAAAGTGGTTGTTGTCCACATTAACTACTGTACTTAATTTTATTTATTTATTTTTCAAAAAGTGGGGAAGCCCCTTTGCCCTGTGTGGGTCCTGCCCTAGCTTGGTTCAGGCTATATAATACCCCCAAAATAGACTATGCTTAATCAGGCAATAAAGAGCAATAAAATTGCAGCCTTTAAACAGTATTACAGCCTTTGGCTTGTTTATTGTAATCACTGGTATGACTAAAAAATAATGGAATTGTATATTGCACACGGTACGTAAGACCAAAACTTGTCCTCCAGGTTCTTAGCTGGGGCCTCACATTTATCTTGTGATCAACAAGTGTGCAGATCAATTGTTACAGTAGGGTGGACATTGCCTTTGTATTTGGTAAGGGGCGACGAAGCTTCCTCATTTATAGGAATAACATTAGTCTATCCCATATTAAAAGATAATCAATGTTTTTTGAAGTAGCAAGGCTGTGCTCTAAGAAAAATTGAAAGGAGCCCAGTGCTCTGGACCCATGAAATCCTGGGTGCCCTGCACATGATTTCTATGTAAAAATTTCCTAGTTCCCCCGGAACAATAGTAACTATTGTTAACTGTTAAGCACCACCGGCCAACTGGGTGCTGGTAGAGCACAACCTTGAGTAGTGAAACATAAAGCAGCAGTGATGAGCGGGGCCATGAAACTATCTCATACATGTAGTACATAACCCTCAGTTGCAGTAAATATTTCAGTGACCAAGCCTTCGTGATTATTCATTTTTAACTTGCAATCTGTCAGTCACATCACTTCAGTGATTCAGTGCATGAGTGCCCCTGTGTTGGAGTTTACATCTCAAATTATGATATACTATAATTATAATTATTATAAGTATTCAATGCAAGATTGCAAAACTTTTCGTTATTCACTCAAAAGAATAACAATACACAACATTCAAGATAGGATCACAATTTTATTTTAAAGACCACATCAGTAAATGGTAATAATTCTTGCTGTATTTTACAAAATTGCAAAAACAGTTTTTGCAATAAACTTGTGTGGGCTCTCTTGCTTTAGCTTGTGGTTTGAACTGACAATGTGTCTGTGCAGTTTAAATCAGGCTCTGAGTTTTGGGAAGACTAAAATTGAAAAAAGCATACCTTTTGTTTAGTGAGGGTTATGGCGACAAGAATGTTGGAAATACTAAGGAATTTACTGTACATTAAAATATCATACCATTCAGATTGCACCATGATCCTGATAGATTTTAATATTTTATAATAAAAATTTACAAATAGAGCTTTAAACCTTTTTATAAAAGCTCAGAGGAATGTTAATAGTGGTAACAGAAAAAATAGTACACTTCAAGAGCAAGGTGTGAGCAATAATAGTGTTTACAAAACTAGAGGGCTCTCTGTGATCTGTTGCCTTAGGGCAAATCTTTTTGAAAGTTTCCTAAAAGTTTCGTAGTCGTCGCGTTCCAGTCGAAGAAAGGTCTAAGAAAAAATTTATCTTCGATGACTGCGCCAGTAGTAAAAGTAAAGATCACCACCGGCGATATAAATAAACTTATCGTTGGGGACATTCACTGCACGTTTTGCGAACTGTAAGCTTACCTCCATGCGCTCCCTCTTTATGCGAAGATTTCTTTCCGGATTCAAGATCTGTCGATTGATCTTTCTTCCATATGCTAGCAAACGATCCAAGTTTAATTTTCCGCCACTGGTTTCCGTTGAAAGCCCCTTAAATGCTATTGCAGCACTCTTCGAAGTTATCAAACCGAGAAAACAGCGAAACTGTCAGCTGGAAACAAACCTATTCCTCGAATCTCACATTCAGTTGCTCAGACTCGCGTGCAGCACAATTCTATCGATTGAAGCGGTTGCTGCACACATACGGAGCCTAATGTGGTAAGATCGAAAGAGTTTGCCGAAACAAGAACGCATCAAAGTGGGAGGAAACTGGAACATTCTTGAGCAGGGTTCTTGGAAGAAAATTATCATGCTGTGTGTGCTGCGTTAAGTAAATGACGTGACAAAGCAATTGCCTTTTGTTCTTGGTAACCGGGCCACAGGAACATGGCGTTGTAATGGCGGACGAAAATTAATGGTTTTTGAGCGCCAAAAAATACCACTTTCCTTAATCGTATGAAGCTATAATTTGCACACCATGTACTTCAAGTACTAAACTGCTAATCTAGCGAAAAAAAATGGTAGTCAAAGATTTGATCGTTGTAGCACTTTAATTAGTTGTTATTGTTAGGAGGGAACTAAATGAAATCTCACAGAAACTTGAATCGAAGAAATTAATATATCATTTTCCAGAACAATGTATTTTTGATATCTAAAATTTGTACAATGTATTTAATATCTTATTTATTACGTTTTTTATTGTTGTTCTTATGGTTGTTTTTAAATAAACTTTGACTAAAGTTCGTTGGTGTAAACAATGGCAGACCATATGGTTACCCTGTTAAGAGAAAGGTAGAAGGATGGTATCTTACCTTGCGGATAAAAAATGAAACATCTCAACTTGGAGTTAACGAATAGAGTACGACTGGCTTACAGAATCACACTTAAGTTTAAAACTAGCCAAATAAAAAATAATAATAGATGATTACAGCCTTATAACACCATACCACACACCTTTCGTGGGTCTTAATTTCGCATTTTACGTTATGACGACGCCATTCCGCCTGAATTGACGAAACTACTATACCCGTGCACTACCCGTTCCAGTCCACTGGCAAACCGATTTCACACCGAAACGAGCGTTTGCGTTTACACGATTCCGTTCCGAAACTTCGCACCGGAGTGAAGTTTTGCTCCGGTACAACAACTGGGGTGAACTCACGCCCGTGTGACTTGCGCCTGCGTGACATTTTGTGGTGGTATCATGCCACAAGAGGGAACCGTAGTGAACTCGAGCCGGCGCGAAAGTCTCCCCGGTGTTATGTTAACATCCCCCTTACTCCAAGTGGTAAATGCAAGGCGGATAAAGGTTGGGCGGTGAAACGAGCGCTCCGCTCTTCATTTAATGTGTGATGCGGAGTAGGACTGGCACGAGCGCTTTTCCGCGCTTCCGGTGCGCTTGAAGGCCGGCGAAATTTTCCTTTTTGCAAACCGGAAATCCTATTTTCTTTCTGTAATTTCAGGCTACAATCTGAAATAGATAAATTCGTTTGATAACAGTATCAATAAACAGTTTCATATGTTTGTGTTTGTGTGCCTATAAATCAAACTTGTTGGTCGAAAAATGCCAAAATTTGAGTTTAGTTTGAAAGTGTTGAATACCTCCTCCTTTCCCTAAATATCACCTAATCGTCTTTCGCCGTTTCGTTTGCAAAAGCTTAACACTTCTTAACCTCAATTTTTACATATGTTGAAGGGGGATAAATTTTATTTAACATAACAAAAAACTGGTTGATATATTTTGATATAGTGGCGTTGTGCTGCTTCAAACTTTGCTTCTCGCCGGTGCAACGCGCCATGGCGATTCGCGCAATGCGTCGTAAATCCGGCAACCGCATGTAAACAAAATTTATTGAGGTTAGTTGTAAGGTTTTTTCTCCGTTTTTCTCTCTAAATCAAAACAAGGTAAACAGTAAAAACTGAGGGGAAACTAATTTTGAAGTTTCGAAGAAACAGAAAGACATATGAGATTTTTTTTCAAAATTAAAAAGAAGGATGATGGTGATTGAAAGTAGCATAATTTCATCTTGCACGAGCTGCACGCATTTATAAAATATACGTCATCTCATCTAGTTATGAAACACGATCTGCTGTCTTTTAGTTTTGCCATGGATGACATGGATGAGATTTTCCTTCGTGTTTTAGACAGTACTTAATTTTTTTTTGTTTTGGAATAACATCGACTTTGGCGAGTAGCAGAACGAAAATATAATTCAGTGGTAGAGTCATGGAAGTAATAAAAGAAACCCTTGGAAAGAGATGTTTGTCTACTCCAACTAAACCTCCCGCAAAAATAGCAACATTTGCCTCTCGGAGACAGCGTACCAGCACAAAGGAACGAGGAAGAAGTACAAGAAAACAAATCAAGGCGCCATAATTCAGTGACAGCGGCAGTGTCTAATGTACAAACCACATCGCAAGCCCCGACCGAAGTCGAAAACAAGCGACATTTCTAAGCAGAGTCCCAGTCCACTGCATCACACCTTTTTGCTCGGACGCGCTCGTTTCACCGCCCAACCTTTATCCGCCTGGGCAAATGTCTTGCTCCCCGCCCTTGCGAATTTCGTGGCTGCGCCCGTGGCCCCGACCCCTCCCCTCAGGAGGAACCCCGATCGGAGGGGCGCTGTTCCCAATTTTCGCATTCTAGATCTTGTCGCCGCCATTTTTGGATAGTCGAAGCGGCCTGCGACTATTTACGGAAAAATAGGAGACTGCAAACGGTCAAAGGTATTAGGTGACATCACTTACGGTTGATCGTCGCTGTTCTTCCACGTTGAAAGTGAGGTAAGTCGTAACAACAGCGAAATTACGCAAAAACGCGACGGAGGAAAGAAGGAGGCAATTGGGTATGGGGAGATCGCGACAAACCACGCAAGTAATACGTTTCATGTCCTCGCACTGGCCATAGTACCCCCAAAATATGACATTTGTCTATTTATCTATTTGTTTTTGTCATTTATAAATATCATACAGGTTTTTATTTAACCAGAATACTTCAATTTAACTCATATATAGACGCCCAAGCGGCCATTTTGCGCATGAATACGAATTCCTCCCCTCCTCCCCAAGAGATTTGTTTTGTTCCGACTGACCAATCTCTCCTCTGCGCATATATTTGGTGGTTTTTAGAGGGTAGTGGAAGAAAACGTTTGACACCTTGGTGAAGGGTTATCCATTTTCAATAAAATGGCTGCCGTTTTCAAGACGAAAGTTCCGCATTTAAGGTGAAAAATACATCGTTAAAAGACACAAATGGAGAGAGAAAGTTAAACAGAACGCTCAGTTTTCTTTTGTGGAGGAAGGAAAGCTTTTCGTCGGGAAATCGTCCCTCGAGGAATTCAACCTTGGTTTCTTTTTACAGCGTAGGGCATGGTATGTTTTGAAATGCAACGAAGGCAGCGACGTTTTTGCTAAATTTTCAGGTACATTTTGTACTCTATGACCGAGTGAATTACGTGGCTTAACTGCAGTATCCGCGTATCCACTTCGATATACACTTAAGACAGCATAAAAAGGAATACAGTATGTGTATTTGTCGTTCTTAAAGCCACTGAAGGTAGAAAAGCCCATAAAGCACTTTCGGGGATACAGCTTCGAAGTGGCAGGGTATTCGGCAGTTTCTCCAATTACGTTTTTGAAAAGGAATTTATGTATTTATAAATGTTTCATAGACGTTTTATTCATTGTGTCATCGAAGCGAAAGAAAACTCACAAAATGCGCCCCGATTAGAGATTGATTTTGTGTTAAATTTTGCCTTTTACTTCACGATCCACGATCCAGATAGTGTTACGCGAATATTGCTTTGAAGGGTAAGCCTTAAGGGTTTTGAATAAAAATTTTCAAGAAATGACTTCTCTTTATACTGTTTTGTGTTTGTTCATTCATAAAAGTAGCTCAAAACAAGGTCGTGATACCACAGCATCCAAGTTGAATTTTATGCTTCTCACAGCGAACTTTATGGAATTTTTACATTCGGGTTTAGTTTTTGGATAGTTGAACACATAGCTGGTGAATTTTATTTGAAAATATGTTTTACTGATTATTCTAGACTTTTAATATTACAGGGGCACCCAACGAGGATATAGTTCAAAACCACTTAAACATAGCATTGTTAAACGTATTTTAGTATTTAAAAGGTAGATACAGGCATATTTTTATCCCCTAAAAATTTTTCATCCGTTCGGATTTCCTAGCTGAAAGTCTAGTGATCCGAAAGTTATAGGGATCAAAACTTATCTTTTCAAAAATTTCAGCCAGAAAAAAGGCTCCTGAAAATTCTAGGCGACCTTTTTAAAGTAAAAAATCCGTTAAAAATGGGCAATTATACCATTTTTTAGATGTTCAAAAATCCTAGGAGAGGAAGGCAAGCAAGAAATTTTACAACAAATGTTCCAAAAATTCTAGATCTCAAATTGTCTTCTGAACATATATTTTCTGAAAATTGACGTTTGGTGCCCCTGATATTAGGTCTTGTTCTATTTACCCTGCAAGCAGAGGCTACATTTTGACTGTGTGAGCTGGCATGTGAAAAGTAGCCTCTGCAGGCAACCCTTCATATCTGTCCTGAGCAGATCGGAGTTGTCGCACGTTTTTATTCCCGCCCAACTTTCGCCATTTGACGACAGACCTGACGATTGATTTTGCTTGCGAATTGCGTCATGTATTTCACGAAAATTGAATACTTATCAGCAGAGGCTACTTTTCACATGCCAGCTCACACAGCGAAAATGTAGCCTGTGCTTGCCGGGTAGTTCTACCGTGTAGCATGAAAATTTTGTGGGAGTTTTATTTTGCGGATTGGCGATTTTTTGTGGTTTGCAGAAACAAATTTTTGCGGTTCGAGATGACTGAAATTTCTGGTGGGAACTAATTTTTGCGATTCTCTGTTCAAGTAGCAGAATATTTAAGTGGAAGGAACCTTAATATGATATTTTCAACTTTTATTTTACGGTATGTTGAGTCAAAGTTCACTCTACTTACATATTTAATGGAGAATAATACAGTAATCACTGTAATATCTTACTGCACAAAGGGACTGAACAACAACAAAACAAAGCAAAAGCCTATCCCTACCATACACAACAGGTCCATTAAAAGCACAGTTTTTAATTTGACTGAAGGGAGTTAATTTTTGCGGCATTCATTTTGCAGGTTTTTTTCTGGGGCAACTAATTTTTGCGGATCGAGGTCAATCTGCAAAATTCGCAAAAATTAGAACCTGCAAAATTTTGATGCTACACGGTATTCAGTCCAACCATTTCAACCATAACTGGTTTTGGTTGATTTGGTTGAAGTTCCCAATGAAACACTTTTCGAACTGATTTTGGTTGAAACGCAGTTGAGGCTGGGTATAGTAATTTCCAGACTTTGCAAAGGTTGTCAACATTAGCGAAAGGCAGAATGGTTGATGCGGCTATTCTTCAACAAGTGGCCTGAAAGAATGCTTCAGTCTGACAAACAATCAGATGATGAATTAATATATAGCATAACTGTTGTTGGAAACTAAGGGGAAACCTGAGTCTCTCATTACAGTCTATTTTTGAGAATGAAAGATTTATTGGCACTGGGATGTGTTAAAAAGAATCAAGATAGGAAGAAATGTGTTTTATATTTGGAGGTTGACAGCGTTTCAGGATAAGAAGAAAATTAATAGAAACAACCTTTTTCATTAGGCCAGAATTTCTTGGAAT